AGATTTCTTTCTAGCACAAAGAAGTTAAGAGCAGGGGAAGATCGCATCCAGTAGCAAGGAAAGGATTCTGCAACAGACCACAGAGCCTCAGGATACAACAGGCTTGTCAGTGATGTGTTTAAAGCTGGGGCAAACTCTTTTGAGCAGGCAGTAAACTGTTTTGCATCCTCAGCGCCAATAATTTCAGCAAGGCAGAGAGATTTGGCCCCAGTTCAGGTTGCAGAGGAAAGGACAACATGTTCTTAGAGTGCAGGAAGCTGTCAGTCAGCTGCTTTGCTGTGATGTGCTGGAAATGATTGCCTCCTCCTAACTGGTCGTTGTTTGCCTTATTGCATGCCTGAGGACCTTCACTGGGCTTTATGTTCCCATGCAGGGGTAAGTCAGTATTATTAGACCAACAGCACAGAAAAGTCTGTCACACCCAGGTAAGCCTGTCTTTAGGAAGGGAGATTGACTTGCCTGGTACTTTACATTTTTCCCCCAGTATTAATACTTGTTCACATCTCAGTTATCTCTTACTTGAGTTGTTTCTGATAAGCATTCAGTCTTCGCTTGAGTGAAGTTTCTGTTGACTGCAGTGGCATTAACCTGAATGAAAACTGCAATATTTGTCCTTCAGTTTCCTTTGAACTGCAATTACACTTGCCTCTTGCGAGTGTCCTCATTAAAGGCTGCAAACACAAAGACTTCTTATTTTAGCTTCCAGATTAAGAGCATGAACTTGTGTGCTGTGTTATAAAATGCTTTCCTGTCTTTCTGAGTTTCTTTTGGCAATGGATCAAAAGTGTAGGACTCCAAATCTTTTAAAAATGTATAAAAAACAAAACAAATTTACTATATCTGCCATCAGAATAGCATACTTCCTGTGGTAGCTGTAGCACTGCTGTAGGATGTAATAGCACTGCTATAGTGTGCCATCAGTTCTGCACAGTCAAAATGGAAAAAAAAACAGCTTTGCACCAGTGAAGTTTTTAGAAACATGAAGAAGAAGGGGAAAAGTATGTTAAATAAGGAGAAGTATTTCCAAATAATCACTTTTAACTTGTAAATTCAGATAGTGCCAAACCAAATAGTCCTGAACCGTGTGTAGGAATGCTGTATCTGCAAAGGGAGGGACCGGAAAACGTGCCTGCATTCTGCTTTGTCCCTCTCTTGCTGCTGAGAGCCTTGGGAAGATTAAAATGGTTGTTCGTTGGGTGGCACAGGTCTCACTGCAGTGACTACATCAGTGGTCCAGTGCTAAGAGGAATAGGAATTAGGGGCTGGGGTAGCTTGTGGAGGTAGAAATCTTGAGAAGTGTGTGTGAGGTTAGTTCCCAGTGTGGCTGTTGTTCTGGCACCCAGCTCACGCTGCTGACAGTGGGAGAGATGGGATCTGAGAAGTCTGTGGGTAACCATTAACTTTAACCAGAGTTTTGTCACAGGGCTTCTCCCTTATTTAAATGGTTGGTTTTTATAAAAAACATTGCCCTGAGTGCGGGTCGAAGGGTCTCTTCATGCACCCCTCCGGCCCACAGGTTGTCAGAGCAGAGCAGAGCAGAGCAGACTGCTGTCTTTGGCATGGATCACAGTGACTCCTTAGGCTTGGAGGCCTCTGGATCCTGAAAGGCCCTGTTTTTCAGAGCAGATAGAGTCAGCTGTGCACTAGATGTGCTTTAATCACTAGTGCAGCCCGGCATTCATCAGTGTAACGAGTGGCTTAGCCCTGTTAGTGCTCTGCCTGCACTCTCTGCTATCGGTGCAGTGAGCTGTGTGGTGTCTCCCACCTTCTGCAGTACAAGACAACCATACCTGGGTTAGAATGAAGTCCTTAAAGTGCTGGTAACAAGAAGCTCTCTGTTCAGCTGCCCGTAGTGCCAAGTGCTATCGGAAGAGGGGAAGGAAGCCGCTTTGAGGTGCCTGGTTTGAAATGTCTCACAAAGCTGATCTTTTGGGGATGAGGTTTGTTTGTGTCTGTGACGGTAGGATTCTGAGAAGAGGTGGAGAAACTTGTCTGATCAGTTTGGTTACCTCCATTTTCCTGCTCTGGTGCCATAGGGCGGCTGGGAGGGTTGTAGTGTTGCAGACACACTTAGAGGATACAGAACCACCCAAAACCCACAGCCATCTTTTTTTTTTCTTTGAAACAGTGGCAAATGAAACATCTTCCCCCCATCCCTCCTTTTTTTTTGTCTTTAGTTAATACATTCTGTGTTTATTTATCTGTGCTCCAGAATACCGAATCCTTAACTGTGCACTAACATAACTTTCAGATATTTTTTTTTGCAGTAGATGACTGCAGTTCTGTGGACAATTACTGCTTACATATGGTGTCTGTGCTCTTAGAAACACACTGCTCCCATAAAGCAGGAAGCCTGACAAAGCACGCTTTGCCCCATGGCCTGAAATCTTGAAAATGGCTGTAACCGTAGTGAATGTTACTCTAAGCAGTCTATCAGTAAATTTCTTAAGAGGTCACAGTCTGTGGGCAAATCAGAAACCTGAGGCTTTGACTTACCTGTTCCTTTTTAACTGTGTTCTGGTTGTGTTTGCTGCACGCAGACCCTTTCTGAATGCTGGCGTTGGTGTTGTAGGCAGGAGTGCTATCATCACAATCAATCTATATGTGCCTTTGCGTTGCATACACTAAGGGGATTAAGTTAAACTCCTGCAGTTAATTCTGGCAGGTCATGCCCTGCCTACCACAAAAGGAAGGAAGGTCCATGTCAGTAGCATTCCTGCTTTCCCAACGCTTTTCAGAAAGTTGTTCCCCTCCACAGTGTTGCTGCCTATACCTTCCTTTACCATAAACACTCGTGGACACTGGCTCATAGGGCAGAAAAAAGAACAAGATTTTGATTCCTGTTCTCCTATGATCACTGTTGCATTATTAAGGATATTTCCATCATTTGGGCACTCATCTAAGCATTCCTGGTGGTAATGTCACCATTCTTAGCAGAACTGATCACTGAAATCTCAGTTGCAGCGCTCAGCATCTTCTACAGTATAGTCATGAAAGTCTTCATAGAGCAGTTTCTCAATCACTGTCTTTCTCTCTGTGGGATTTAGCTATTGCTTTTTAAACCCTTATTACCCCTTAAGTGAAAAAGCCAAGCAGACAGCTTCCTTGTAGCAAGGGAGCAGAAGTGAACATGAACCTTGGCTACCAGAGTAGCTGTTACCTTGATCTTTCTGTAAAGGCAGGGCTGGTAATACCGTAAAGTCCTGTCAGTTAAATCCCATCACATCTGCTTCTCTGAACCATAAACCAGGAGGCTGTGGGAACTTGCACCAGAGCTGGGAATTACAGACACAATGATAGCCCCATGGAATGGGAAAGGCCAGTGTAGACACAAAGGGGGTAAGTGATGAGAGCAGTTCAACTGCTCTTTCCCCAGAAATGTGATCCCTCTCCTGCAAGCTAGGTGTATGCTGTTGAAAAAAGCTCAGAGAGAAGCAAATACTTCTGCTTCCTTTTGCTTCAGGTGTAAAAGACCATGGATTAATCCTCAGCCCTTGTGTCTGGGATAAAAGGACGTGACCAAGGCGATCCAGAAGCCACCAGATAAGGATGTAGTGAAAGCATATTGCCTGCTCTCTTAGTGCTGCTTTCCTAAAATCACTTCCCAAAGTCCTATCAGAACAATATTTTCACCTCTAACCTGCTGTCAGAAGCATTTCACATGCATTTTAATTGTATACAAAAATATTGGGGGATAGAAGTCTGAAGAAGGCACTTGCAGTTTGTGGGGGAGGCCGTTTGTTTTTTGGTTTGTTTGGATTTTTTGTTGTTGGGTTTTTTTTTTCATTTGCTTTTGAAGTTTAGCTGTAGACTTGCCAGCAATGCAACGGGATACAACAACCTTTAAACCATTTGATTAGCAGCTTCTCTGGTATATCTGGAGCATGAGTCCTGATCCGTTTTCACTTTTACCATCCAAGTTGCCAAGTATTTGAAATGCAGTAGCTCAGGCATGTAGAAAATGTCATCGCTGCTTGTCAGTTAACAAGAGGCTTGTCATCACAGGCTTAGCAACTCTGAGAAGCTGTGGGTTAGTTTGACCAAGCAAGGAAGAAATGCTATATCATGTGGTGTTTCAACTAAAAGAGAAGATATTAATATCTATATTCACCAATTATGATTAGTGGTACTCGTCCTGTTCTTACCAAACTTCTGCCCTGATGATCAGCTGTATGTACCAATCATCAAGTTGTATCCTGGGCTCCCCTCATGCTCCTGTGAGGGATGTGGGTGTGGGCAAGACCCTCATGTGCCAATGCAGAACAAACCCACAGCTTGCTGCATGTGCACAGATGGGTGAGGATGGGATTATTCAAGGTCAAGTTGTCCTGTCTGTGCTAACACAGTGGGAGATTAATGAAGGAAGGATTTTGCTGTTAAAAATGACACACTACACTTCCTCCATGTGAACTAAGGCAGTCTGTGCTGCAGTTGGAAATGTAGCATCAGTCCAGCAGGATGCTCCCAAGCTGATGCTAAGTGGTTTGGGCGAGCTGAGCACGTAGCAAAGATACCAGAGCACAGACACCAGCTGCTTGCCTGCAGCCCTCGGTGGGCTTGTACAGCCTGTGCTGAGATGTGTTCCATCTCTGCTGTTGCTCTTCAGTGCATAGTGCAGTTTGCTCTTCTCATTGCAGTGTAAACATGGCCTGAGCAGACAGAGTCAAGGCAGCACTCCTGCTTTATCAGACTTACAGGAAGGCCCAGTGGTGTCCGGGGCCAACCCTGGGCTTCCAGCCTGCTGGTGCTCTGCTGCCAGGGTTCTGAAATGCCTCTCCCAGATGTGAGTGGCGCAAAAGGAAATCCTGGTGGAAATTACTGCTCCCTTTCATACCCCCCAGAGAGTGAAATCCCTTTGTAAGGGCAAAATAGTTGATACTTCTTGACTAACAGAAGAATCCAGATCAGTCTGTTCCTTGCCAGAATGGAGAAGATATTTATTTTTCTTTACTCCAGTTTTCCTCTGCTTGCTGTGAACCTTCTGGATGTGTCTTGAACAGGCGCAGAGTCCGTGTCTCCCTCACTGTGGCACAGTGGATGCCCATTTCACAGGCATGGCTGACTGTTTCCGGCAAACAGTGAAGAACAGAGGTGTGCTCGGGCTTTGGAGCGGCCTCACACCCAGCCTGCTCAAGGTGAGCTTTTGTTTTCATCACTGAACTACGGCACGCTCTTGCACAATTGAAGTTATAAGGCATGTGGCAACCCTCCATACTTATTAGTGGCTTATAGATGAGAAAGGCAGTCACAGCGCAGGTATAACCTCAGGCAGGTTATAAGCCAGCTTTGGATCACAGGTTTGGTTGTATTTCTCTAAGTGTGAGTTCAGCTTCTTTATGTGACTTCTTTCAAGTTCATTTGAATGCCCTTAGGAAAGGGAGTGTTTCTAACACGCAAGCCAGACGAGGGGACAGCTAGTGATGTGCCTAAAGCAGCTAACCAAGTTCTGCTTTTCATCTGAGCTCCAGTAATTTGACAGACTGTACCTAGCTATAACAAAAATAGTTCTTGTATTAACCACTCCCACAGAAGTCAAAAGCTGCATTTTGCAGTGAGCTAGTAGTGCGTGCGTATCAGTTATGCAGCCTTTACAGAGAAGAAAGTGTGAAATAAAACATGATAGCTTAAACATAAGGTTAATTAGATAAATACATTCTACAGTGCTGCATTGTTAATTACCTGTACAGGATACTACTGGTCAGTTGCTGAGTGGTAACTGAGCATAACTAGAAGTGATGGCCAGGCTATGGCTGGCCCTGCCTTTGCTGGTATAAAGGCATGTGGCATCAGGGCTGCTCATTTTGCCCAGGGAAAAAGAAGAAAGTTGTTTAGTCATTCTGCTTTATGGAGAATAAAGTCCATGTTTCCTATTAGGATTTGCTGAGGTTGCTTAGGATTTGCTTAGATATTTTAGAAGTTGTGATAACCTACAGGCTAGCACAGACCTTGTTCCTCACAGTGCTGCTAGAATTAGCTATGTACAAGTAGCAAACTCCTCAGCGTGATGCAGGTGCAAACCAGGTCTGAGGAGAGTCTAACTTCATGTAAATGAGCACAATTCTGTTAGCAGATCACATCAAACCTGAAATTCTAGAAGTTTTCCTTTATAAAAACATCTAAGAATACTATGAGTGTAACACGCTGCTTTTTTTTTTTTTTTTTTAATCAGATTGTTCCATACTTTGGTGTTATGTTTAGCACCTTTGAATTCTGCAAGCGGGTCTGTCTGTACAGAAATGGTTATATCGAATCTCCTTTAAGTTACAAGCTGACTCCTGGGGTGGATCAGAGTTTACTGCCACAAGAACTGAGAGAATTAAAGCGCCTCCGAAGAGAAAACTTCGAGCCAAGGAAATCAGCTCTTGAAAACTGACGTGAGAGATCTATTGGAGAAGCCTTTTCTTCAGAAACTTTGCAAGAAAGACATGCTGAACTGCAGGTACCAGCATCTCAGCAAGTTGCATGGCTTTAGTGCTGAGACTACAGGATGCAGGGGATGAATAAACCTCTTATCTCATTTGCTGAATGGATGCAAACAATAAAAGTAGTAAGCATACACCAAGGAGGAGGAGAGATGCTACTAGTCTGAACACACTGTATGCTATTGCAGCTTGAACTGATGCTATTCTAGGTGCTTCTCAGTGCTGGATAGCCACGTTAAGATAAACCATTTGCAGAGAGAATGAAAACTGAGACAAGTACAAATTGCATCTTCAGAACATTAAGAAAGCTCAAATTGGATTTTTTTTTAAAGTAATTTGTGATAAGAAGTCATCAGAAAATGGCAAGCAGACTAGATAGACAAATGCAAGCATTTCTGCTGGAATCTCCTCTTTAGTGATAATGGGAGGACGTGGCATTCTGCAGATGCAGAATTAGCCTCAGTTCATTCACACTCCAGAATCCACTCTTCCATTTTTGAGACTTCCTTAAGAATAACAACTTTGTACATGTCTTTGGCATAGCAATGAAAATGAGCTGCTGCAATGATGTTTTTGCTAATAGACTGTAACACACTGGAATGACAATCTTCTAAACTTAGGTGCTTACTGGGAATCTTTTTCCCTTTCTCCTGTGTACGTGAGTTATTTCAGGCTTAGAAAAAAAGTTTTCCTGAAAATTTCTAACTAAAATATCTTCTGAAAAATGCAGACCTTAAGTGTGTCGGCTATTTCAGAGCCACGAGCCTTACAATGTTTTTCAGTATTCTTAAAGTTCTATTTTTATGCTAAACTACTTCTCAGTCCTTGTGCACAGACCCTTGTGCTGCTCAGAACTTGCCTGTAGAAGAGCACTGTGCACACGTCCTCTCACTTTCCCTCTTGAACCTCTGCAGTGCAGGACCCACAGCACTTCCTTAGGTTGGAAACTCAGCACTACCACCAGGTTCTCGCTGGTGCCACTGCCTTCTCACCAGGCTAGGGCCCTTTCAGGCAGTATAATACCATTATCTGAGATAACTTTAAGACCTGCTTTGCCCCTGGCTCTTAATGTTGGTATACCCTACAGCTGAGGTCTTGTGGTATCTCCAGCAATGGGTTTGCTGTGTGCTGCTATGATGGTTGATTTTCTTCTCAGAGAGAAGCACGGGTGTTGATAGCAAAACTCAAGATGGTAGGGAGCATCCTGGTGGCTTGTGAGTCACGGGGAGGCTGTAAGTATTCCTGGCTCTCATCAGTCTGCCTGGTGAAGGGGTTTCTCTGTGCCTCAGTTTCCCTATCTCTGCACAGTGTCAGTAACAATACTGATGTTCATTTGATGTGTATGAATAAGGAAAGATGACTTGTGAGCAAGTTGGGGAAGAACTGTTTTCTGAACAATGCTCTTACCTGTTCAAAGCATGGATTTTGTTGTTTTTGTTTTTAACTGATGTTGTTTTTCTAAATAGATGTTAAAGACTGAATGATAGGTGCTTATAAATGTTCGCTCGCCTCTTCAAACCTCATGAGAGTCAAGCAAGTCAACAAGGTACCTCTAACTTGTTTGTGATATGCCACTGACACATCTGTATTACACTTCACTCCTCAGGCCTATAAACCGTTCATTAACTTTGTATCAGCCAAGCCTCTCCATTGTTTAATTGCATCTACTTAGAAGGAAGAGCTGGGGAACTGTGGGCTTTTGAGTCTGAGATCATGGAGCAGGTCCTCCTGGAAGAGATGTTAAGGCACGTGCAAGGTGAGGTTAGCCTCACCTATGAAGAAAGTCTGAGGGAGCTGGGCTTGTTCAGCATGGAGAATAGAGGGCTCTGGGGAGACCTCATTGCAGCCTTACAGTGCTTGAGAGGAGCTGACAGTAACAGGACGAAGGGCTTTAAACTAAAGGAGGGGAAACTGTGGTCAGATGTCAGAAAGAACTTTATGCAGGCCCTGGCACTGCTGCCCAGCACTGCGTGCACCCAGCCCTGGAGGTGCCCAAGGCCGGGCTGGGTGAGCGCTGGGCAGCCTGAGCTGGGGGGCGGGCAGCCTATGGCAGGGGTTGGGGCTGGGGGAGCTTTAAGGCGGTGCTGTGATTCTGGGAGAAATCCCTCCGAAAGGTAACAAAACCATTTCACAGAGCGCTCAACCAACCTGCTTCCACTGCACCTAACGTGGTGCGTGGGAACAGGGACCGAGGTCACGGAGCAGCCCTGTGCTAAGCTGTGGGCGCTGTGCGGTGGCGGCGTGTGCGTGTGTGCCTGCCGGCCCGCCGCCGTGCCCGATGCCGTGTGACACGCGGAGCAGCGCCGTGGCTGCTGACGGGGCGGGCGCTCACCGAGGGCAGCTCTGAGCCGCCGGGCCCGGGGTTTTCGCGGGCTCCCGGCCCGGCTCCCGCCCCCCCGCGCCGCCCGGCGGCCCAAAGCCCCGCCCCGCTGCGGCGGCCCCGCCCCCTCCTGCAGCCAATGGGCGTGCGGAACGCGGCGGCGCGCTGCCGTGGCGCGCCCCCGCCCACGTGTCCGCCGCCGCCCCTATATAAGGCGGCCATTTCGGCCCCGCGCCCGCCTCGCTGCCGCAGCGCCGCCTCCCCTTGCCTTCCGCCCGGCCTCGCCTCGCCGCCTCCCGCCATGGCCGACGCGGCCGTGTCCTTCCTCAAGGATTTCCTCGCCGGGGGGGTGGCGGCCGCCATCTCCAAGACCGCCGTCGCCCCGATCGAGCGGGTGAAGCTGCTGCTGCAGGTGAGCGGCGGGACGGGGGCGGCGGGCGTTCCAAGGTCGCCGCAAGGAGAGGGGGGCGGCGGGGGGCGGGGTGGCACGCGGAGCGGCGCTGACGGCGCTGCGGGCCTCACAGGTGCAGCACGCCAGCAAGCAGATCGCCGCCGACAAGCAGTACAAGGGCATCATCGACTGCGTGGTGCGCATCCCGCGCGAGCAGGGCGTCCTCTCCTTCTGGCGCGGCAACCTGGCCAACGTGATCCGGTACTTCCCCACCCAAGCGCTCAACTTCGCCTTCAAGGACAAGTACAAGCAGATCTTCCTGGGCGGCGTGGACAAGCGCACCCAGTTCTGGCGGTACTTCGCCGGAAACCTGGCGTCCGGCGGCGCTGCCGGCGCTACCTCGCTCTGCTTCGTGTACCCCCTCGACTTCGCCAGAACCCGCCTGGCAGCCGACGTGGGCAAAGCCGGGGCCGACCGCGAGTTCAGCGGCCTCGGTGACTGCCTGGTGAAAATCTTCCGCTCGGATGGCCTCAGGGGTCTGTACCAGGGCTTCAACGTGTCTGTCCAGGGCATCATCATCTACAGAGCCGCCTACTTCGGCATTTATGACACCGCGAAGGGTAGGTGGGCTGGCACGGCGCTCCCCTGGAGGTGCCGGCCCGCAGACCTGCACTGTGCGTGCTCACCGGCTGCTCTCACACAGAACCTCTCTCCTGCAGGAATGCTTCCTGACCCAAAGAACACCCACATCGTGGTCAGCTGGATGATTGCTCAGACGGTCACTGCGGTCGCTGGTTTGACCTCCTATCCCTTTGATACGGTTCGGCGCCGCATGATGATGCAGTCCGGCCGTAAAGGAAGTAAGTCGCTCCTTTCCTCCTTGTGTTAGGAGCTGGTGGGCATCCCTGAATCGGGATGTGGCAGCGGGTGTGAGCTGGGGGCAGGAGTGTGCTGCCTTTCATCAAGGCCTTTAAATGCCGCCTTCTCCTGTAAGCTGCAGGATAAGAGGGGACTGCAGAAGCAGATGTCAGGTAGGGGGCAAACAGATTGGCATCTGTGGCATCCCTGTAAGTTGGGTTTGTTCAGCAGGTAGGAATGGCAGAGCTTGCCCGAGGGTGCAAGCAAACTCACATCTCTGGGCTAAGAAGGGATGTCCCTCATGGGAGGCATGGCTTGGCTGACTGTGCAATAGATTTTGGGTCTGGAAGTGTTGGTGTCTAGCAAATATTAGCAGCTTTCTGCTCAAACTGGTCCATCCAGCCTCTCCTGAGGGTAACACAGGCCTGGGCGATCTCATCCTCTAAAAGTAAGCCAAGAAATGGATATTTGAGATTGTAAAACTGCCAGATACGTTAGATTGGTTCTGACCTGGATTTTGGGGGTCATAGGCACCAGGTTTCTAACAGTGTCTGTTCCCACAGCTGACATAATGTACACTGGCACTATTGACTGCTGGCGGAAGATCGCCAAGGACGAGGGCTCCAAGGCGTTTTTCAAAGGTGCATGGTCGAATGTACTCCGAGGAATGGGTGGTGCTTTTGTCTTAGTTCTGTATGACGAAATTAAGAAGTACACATAAGTTATTTCTTGTTCTGAACTGGCATGTTGTAATATGTTATCTATGACCATTCATGGACTTGTATGAAAACTGTCTAGTTACTAACAGTAACGGATGATATTTATACAGGTTGGCATGGGGTAGGGACAACCTCCTGCCCCGTCTTTATCAAATCATTCCCACTGCTGGGACTCAAACATGGTTTCTATTTCAGTCACTCCTGTTTAAAGAGTACGAAGAAATAAAAATCTGACGCCAGCTTTCCTCGTCTCGTGGTTGTTCTCATAGCAGCTGCAGTGTGAGGGGCCGGGGACCTCTGCAGTGATTGTAGAGGGGGAAGACAAAGCCCTCCCTGCATGACTCACTGACTGTGGGCTGCAGTATGTGAATGCAGTGCAGCCTCCTGAGAAAGTGTTTCCTTCCTGGTGGAGGTCAGCAGTGAGTGCTGGTAGTAACTGAGGAGCATGCACTAGCTTTGTGCCACCAGTCCTGCCTTGGGGCTTTCTGCCACTTGGGGCTGATGAAAGCTCTTTTTTGAAAATGCCAAGTGCCAGAACCTTTTCCTGCAAAGCACCAACTGGACTGAACATCTGGGAGACCAGAGGAATGTATTAAGGAGTATCCACAGCAGTCTGGAAGAGCAGAACAGCATCACGTGTTCTAGCTTAGAAACTGAACTCCCCACTTGGACATGTTAAAACCCAGCCAGAGAAAATAAGTGTGGGTAATTGCTGTTCTTTCTGCAGAGCCCCTGGCTAGACTTGTCCTTGCATGGAGGTGGTGTGCTGCTGGGTTGAAGAAAGATGATGTCTGTGTACCTGCTGGGCCTGCCCGGCTGGGAGCCAGCTCTGCAGGCCCATTGCCTGCTTGCCATCTGAGAGCTAAGCTTCTCCCAGTCTCAGATTTGGTGGAAATTCTTTCATGCTGATGGGGCAATTTGGGGAAAACACAGTGAGATTCGGGAATGTGTGTGGCTTGGCTTTTGCCCAGACTTCTCATGGGACTGCAAGCCACCACAACACAGCTGTCAGCTCTGTGTGGAGGCTGCAATGGGCTGACCATGCTGCCTCTGCTCTTTGCTCCTCTAGCTGCTCAGACCTGCTCCAAGTGGTCGATCCCAATCATCAGAACGGATCTCAGCCACTGTCTGAGGCAGGTAAACACACTTGTGTGGCAAAGGGCAGTAGTTTTTGTTGCTGAAATAGAATTGGAGGTGCTGGGCACAAGTGCAGCACCAGCTGCTCACAGCCAGCAAGATTGGGTCAGCATGAATGGGTGTGTGGTGCTGGGGGTGCGAGGATGGTGGCACTGGTTGGTGCTGGGCTCTGTGTGCCAGTGGAGATGTGGGTCTGCAAGAGCCTCGCCTGCAGCTTTCCAGCTGTCCTTGAGCTCCTGAGGTGGAAACGAGCTTCCCTGTGAGCTGTGCCACGTGCTGCAGGCATGCTGGGCTCTGGTGGGCTGCACCTTCCAAAGTGGCCACCAGGCAGTTGGGGAGCCCCTTGCTAATTAACAAAGGGCTCGCTGGGGTTATTGCTCTGTGCTGCTGAGCCCCCCTGGAGCTTTTGGAACATTTCCTTTCCTGGTGGCAGCACAGGCCTGGGAGCAGGTGGGCTGGCAGCCAGGCCCTGCTTCTGCTGCCCACGGGAGCACGTCACAGGAGGGCTAAGATCCTTGTTCTTGTGGGGATTCTCCTCATAAGCAACATTTTCCTGTGAGAAGTATTGTTCTGCTTCCCCTTTGCTGGTGGCTCGTGGTGGCTGAGCTCCTGCAGAGCTGCTTTCCTCTCAGCCCCTCTGCCAGCAGCTGTAAATCCCGACTGATGAGCTGTTGACACAGGCAGGCTGCCCACGGGGTGGTGGTAAATATTTGCTAGCAGCTGAGGCAGGTGCTGCATGGCGCAGAGGACTGGCAGCAGCTCGGCGTGTGGCTTGTCCTGAACAGGGAGAAGGGTCACAGGAGCAGGGGAAGAGGTGGCTTTAGGTCAGACAGAGAAAATCAATACCATGACTTCTACCCAAAGCTAGCGTGCTGTGGGCAGAGATGATGAACAAATCAGGCTTTGGTATGCACAGCAACAGCCAGGCACTGGTGACATAGTGGCAGGGCTGGCCTCGGTGATGGGATGGGCCAGAGGTTGCCAGTGCAGCCCAATGGGTATCTCAGATAACAATGTCAGAAGCTGAATCTAGCTGGGCTTAGGCTGGTCTGCCAGCACTGTTACACAGCCATTCACCTTGTCACCCCGAAAAGAGTTAGTGTGCATTTATAAATATCCATTGCAACAGTCCAGGGAGTCACAGCAAGCTGTCTGTGTACTGGCTGCTGTACAGCCCAAGGCAAACTTTAAAAGCTCCAGAACAATTTGCC